GAGATTGATTACAAGTTTGGTCGTTTTTTCTCTTGTTGTTTGTAGTTATTGATGCATAATGAAGGTGATGTTGTGAGGATTAGCGATCTTGATGATCGGGGTAGTGGCCGTTTATCTCGATTATTGAGGACAGTGAAGAGTTTAATGGTTCAGCAAGCGGTGAAACCGGGAGAGATTCTGGAAGAAAAACTTGTTATAGTCCCACTTTTGAAGGTGCTTCTCTGATGGTTCTCACTCTCAACTATCTAATTCTTGTTTTGAAGCTTAAAAAGTGCGTTTGGAATATCGATAATTTAGGTCTGGGATTGTAATGTGTTCTGTAATGTGTGAGCTAGCTATATGAAAGTCTTCTAGCTATATTTTATAGGTGGTTAGTTTCCTTTTGTATAGCTCGTTTGCTAGTATGTAAAGAACTGTCAGTCTATTGTGTAAGTTTGTGGCTGATAGTCTTACTTGATGTGTAGGAGAAGGCTGCTGATGTGGTGAAACTTTTGTCCGAGGGACACTGGACTTCAACCTGTGTTGTTACGCTGAAGAAGTTCCGGAATTTGTGCAACAATTCGAATGAGGCATCTGCTGTCTTGAGACACTTGTCAGGGTGTGGAAAAGCGCATAAAATCTCTATCAATCGGGGAGAACTGATTGAGGTTGGTTCTTATCCATTTTTTCTTTGGCCTTATATCAGCTGTCTGGTGGAGGTACTTGTTAGTCAGTTCGTATAGCATCTATGCATTTTTAAAATGTGTATTGTTCCATGAGATATATATGGTCTTAAGGATGTAAATATCTTGCTTGAATTTTTATGTCGAAGAAGTTTCTTACTTAATTACACAGTCCTGTGAAGAATTTTGAAAAAGGCCAATGAGACATATGTATTCTGTCTGAATCCAACATACTCGTGCTTTGCAGGGAGTTAAAGTGTCCTTTTCAGAAGCAGCACTTCCCAGTATCTCATCTTTAGACTGTGATATTCTGCACTTGCTTAGGACTACAGAAAAGCTACAGGATCAACTTGAAGTGATGGATCAACGATGTGAAACGTAATACCTTCTGATTCTTGATCTGTATCGAAATGGTTTTATTTTCTTGTACATTGATCATTGCCTTGGAAAAACAATATAGCTTTAACTTTTTCGTAAATGGTTAAAAAGACTGAATTCAAGTGTTTTTGACTTTCTCCTTTTGTAGGTCAAAGAAATCAGCGCTTGCATCTCTAAAGTCTGGACACAAGAAAGTTGCTCTAAGGCATGCAAGGGAAATGAAGTTGGCGACTGAGAGCAGAGAAAAATGCACATCACTTCTGAATAGAGTAGAGGAAGTTCTGAACACTATAACGGATTCTGAATCAACTAAAATGGTATATCGAACCCCGAAAACACTCATAGGTGATGCTTATCATGTTTGGGCCTTTTAATAGTGTCAATTATGGAATCTTTGTGTGTTTGGCAGGTCTCCGAAGCAATTAAAACTGGAGCTAGGGTTATGGAGGACATCACGATCAGTGTAGATGATGTTCATGACTGTTTGGAAGAAATTGAGGAAACTATTGAATCACAGAAGCAAGTCGAAAAAGCTCTCGGTGAGTGGTGTTTTTGTCTTTTGAAATACCTGCACGATTCATCCATGAACTTTTATGCTTAGCTAGACTCTTTGTCGATGTGGCAGAATCAGCTCCATATTCAGATGTTGATGATGAAAATATCGAAGAAGAATTCATGAAATTAGAGATGGAGCTTGAAAGCGAAAGTTCGCACGTCAAACCAGCGACTTCGGATACTGCAGATTCACTGACTGAGATGTTCTCAGAGCTTAAACTCGGCGATACAAAACAAACATTGGAAGAGCAAGCTACTGAGCCAGTTCGGATGAAAGATAGCGGGAAAAAGATTCTTGAAGCAGCATAGTTGAACAATACATCTTGTTATGGTTCAAGAAACAAAAGCTTCACTTCATTGTATAGACTCAGGAGCTTGTTGAGGTGGATTATGATTTTGAACACTTCGATAATGGTTGATAATCTACAGATATATCTAACATGTAGTCTTTGTCATCAGAAACAAGTACTTAAG